ATAGAAAGATTACACTTAATTAAAGAGGTAAATTAGACATCTGATATCAAAGAACACAGAGTTGGAGCCCTTCTAATGCAAGCAGCAGCGAGCAAGCCATGGCGATAGATTCCTCTGCCACCGCTTCTATTTTCGACATTTAGATGTGTAAACACAGGCATAATTTCTAGAGGAATGAGCATAACAAGAATAGATAGCATAGTCTCATTGAAGACAATAGTCCATCTTTTTAGGCTTAAACTTAGAAGTAGCAAACCTAAGATCAATGCCTACATGTACCATACTATACAGAGCTAACACAGCATAAATTAAGAACTTAGGAAATGCTTGACAATGTACTTGAAGAACCGAATTTCTGAGTAACGCATAGCATGATATTTAGGTTAAAGGAAGTGTAAAAGCAGATACTTCAGAGTTCAGACTATGCTATGAACTAAGCATTAGACATCAAATGATACAGAAAATGTTACATTGCAGCAGTTACATTATAAGAATTGATGAAGTAATTCGGATAATCAATGTTTCTTAAATCCAAAGGCCTTGGCTAGAACAACAAATAACAATAGGAGCAAGCTCCTCAAGAAAAATTTGAAAACAAAACCAGTCTTGCTGTGAAGTGTACTAAATTTTAGGCAGTCTGACAGATGTGTCGAAGACTTGAATTGAACCATATGCTCGAGACAAGCTTTGCTTTGAAAATGAAAGGTATCACAAAGCTAAAAATCCGAAAGCAGGACAAAAGTTAGAGCTGAAGTAGACCTTGGATGATAGATACCTCAGGCATGCAGTGTCAGTATTGTTTGCTGGACTCTGAAGAAGCAGTCAAGCATATGCTGGAAGCCAGGAACAATGAATCCCAAGTTCTCAACAAGAAAATGCATTAAACCAATAATTTTTGGCACTTCACATAGGAATCATTGAGAAAGATTGCTTTATGAAAACTGTATGCCTTTTTTCTTTGAATGGCAAACTCTACGCTTTCTTAATCGATGCTGCTACAACGCTTTCACAATTATTATAAATGTCATCAACAGAATCTTTTCTACCTGCTTTGATGTATCTGTCAGACAAGGTTCAATCGATAAATTTGCATGCCTAAGTAAGAGAAACGGTTTCAGAATCCTGAAAGTCTTGAGCTGAATCAGTTCATGGGAAAATAAAATCTGCCCATTTATGCTGCAGGTAATGTTCTATTTACTGCATTAATATTCCATTAAGGAAATTCCTCCATTTTGCCCTCTGTTTGGTTTGGTTCATAGAAAATGATTTCTTGGAAATCATATTTAAGAAACCTAATTAATGTGCACTTGAGGAGTGAATCCTTAAGAGATAGATGATAACTCATTTTTCTGATAACAATTTCCCCCATTGAAATAGGGAGGTTGTTTTCCAGAAAAGAAAAGGATTATCCTTCACCATCTCTATAAATATCTTCTCTCATGTCTACATAAATAAGCTATTTTACCAATGATTTTCCAGAAGTTCTTTTCAGAGAAAAAAAAAAAAGTAGCGTCTTCCATCCATCTCCAAAGATCTTACTCTCAAGTTTATGTTAGTAAGTCATTTTATTTACGATTTTCCGGAGGTCATTTTCCACAAACCAAATATAGCATTAGAGAATATCATAATGCAGTCAAACCAGTCACTTTCTTAATCAAATATGTTCTTTAAATTTTTAGTTCTCAACAAACAAGCTTTCTTAGACACTTTCATTTCCAAACAGGAGGAAGGTACAGCAAAGTCAATAACAAAACGCATATGGTTGCAGATGAGCACAAACTTGCATCTTTATATGAAAACAAAGTTACAAAATCATAGAAAAAGTATGATCAAATCCAGTAAATGACTTCTAAAGGGTAAGAGCTAAACAAACACAATTGTTAATGATCTCACCGGAGTTGTTCATTGATTGAAGAACCAAGAACCTGTAACATATGAACCAAGAAAGAAACAAAATTAATTTCCAGCAATACAATTCTCATATATTTGTTTGAAAAGAACTATAACTATTATTACTTTCTCATCTTCAGAGAAATGGTTTGCCTCTTAAGACACCAAAGAAACTTCTTTGGGATCAAACCCAAGAGACACTCTTATCTGATAATGAATTCCAATCAAAATTGCAGTATAGAACATAAAGTTTAACTGTAAAGAATCATCTATCAAAAGAGAAGGAAAGTACCCCCGAATATGAGTGTGATCCACTATACAGAATTATGCTAAATGAGAAGGCTAATTTTATTGTGATATAAATGTATGTACAAGAAGAGGTGTTGTTCTCTCTTCTCTGATGTAACAGCTACAAGACAAGGTACAGTATTTGCTAAGATATAATCACTAGGACAAACCATAACTTATAGGAATAAAGTTCTTCACGGTCGAAGCCGCCTACTTAAAACAGGACAAAAATTCAAGACATCCGAAGGTTCGCTCAGAATTCAACCTGCGGAGGAATCCGAAATGGAATCTATATAACCTAATTCCGGACTGGAAAGCCAAATAGCTACCCACTTAACCAGTCGTTTCTTGACAACAGCAATTATGTTTTGTCTGTCAATAGTATAATTAACAAGACTAGACATAGAGACCAACTTCAAACCGTCATATTTAAGTCTGAAAGATCATCCATTGGAATTTCAAGGCCCAAGAAATCATGATCTTGTAATCCTTCGTCATCTATGTTCAACCATGAAGCCAGATCTTGTCCAGGTAACTGCAAGTCATCTAACACATCCAAGCTAAACACCTCTTTTTCTTTAGTATTGTTGTCAGCAGCTGTATCACTTGACTTTGATACAGATGTCAATGATGGTTTGGATTTCTCAGGCATCTTGCCAAGAAGGCCATTTACAGAAACAGATAGCTGAGTTGTTTTCTGCTTTGGCTTTGCTTTAGATTTTCTTTCCCCCTTAACATTGGATAATGGTCGACCAATTTTACTTGTTCCATTTCTTGATAAAACCTCTCTACCATGTCCCTTCCCCTCTCTATCTCTCTC